GCTGATCAAGATGAGGCAGCACCAGTAACACTCCTATCTAATCTGCAGACTTTACGCAAATTTTCCCAAGTGCCCCACTAATGTTTTACTCTGGTCGAGTCCAATCCAAGATCACAGGTTGGGAGCCGCTTTGAAATGTCTCTCTCCCTTAGCATCCACATGTAACCAGTCAGCAAGTTCCATCGATTTCCCCACATACTTCTCCAGCCCACACACTGAGTACCTCCATGGCTACTATTCTAGAAAAAGCCACTGAGGTCTTGCGCCTGATCCTGCAGCAACCTCCTCATTGGTCTCCCTGCTTTTTGTCTCCCTCTAATGCAGGGCTCAGCACAGTTTGGAGTAAAGGGCCCGAAAGTAAATATTTCAGGCTTCGCGGGCCACACAGTCTCTCCTGCATCTACTCAGCTCTGCCATTGCAGCGCAAAGGTAGCCATAGGCAATTTATAAACGAATAGGCGTGGCAGTGTTCCAATAAAACTTTATTTGCGGACACTGAAATTTGAATTTCCTGTAACCTTTACATATGACAAAATATTTTTCTTTTGATATTTTTCAACCATTTAAAAATATACAAGCCATCCTTAGCTTGTAGGTTGTCACCACCACAGTTTGCTGACCCCCTGCTCTAACCCGTTCCTCACACAACATCCAGAAACACGCTGAGCTCGCTCTTCCGCTTCAATTCTGCACTCCGAGTAGGACAAAGCCCGCAGTGCCTGGGTGCTGCCCCTCTCACCTCATCCTGGACCTCTCACCCTCTCTTTCACCACACCCTACCCACTCTACCCTTCTTTTCCAGAAGGTCATCTCTGTTTCGGGGCCTTTGCACACATTGGTCCTCTACTTAGAATGCTCTTGCCTAGATTCCCTCTTCACCTAGATAACTTCCACTTATCTTTTGGATTTTGGGGGCCTTTTTGGGTAGAGAAGCTTAAACTTCCTCAAGAGATCTTCTCTGGTCCTCCCCCATTATTAATGCTCCCCTTACTCTCATAGTACCATGTCCTTTTAATTTTCTGTTTCCCTTAAAACACTTACCACAATTGGTGATTATGTATTTGGGCTTAATTTTATTTTAGTGGAAAACTCCTTGAAGTCAGGGACCATGTCTGCCTTGTTTGCACAGTGGACCAAGCACCCAGCACAGTGTCTGGCATAGTGGGTGTTCCCTGAACGTCAGCTCAAGAAATGGATCCTCTACTAGAGCTCCTCCTTCACCTGCAAGAATGGCCCCTGTAAACTTCAGGAAAGGGCCCAAACAAGCCAGGGCAGGCTTCCTGAGCAGGCCTCCTGGACACCTGGACTATGCAGAGGCATTTCCGAGGTACCTTCCAACGAATCTGCTCCGGGCAAATTCCTGACCCTGGAGGAGCTTTCACTAAAGGCCCCACTCAGAAACCTGCTACGCATTTTCACTCTAATGCCATCCATCTGCTGCGCTTCCTGCCTTCCAACCCAGAAACAGTCTCCCCCACTGAGGTTAACCCCTCTCAGTAACTCTGGGATTGCCTGAGATCTTAAAAACATAGCTGTTGAATCAGAACACTTTATTCAGCTGCCAGTCAGGAATGCTGGGGCAGTGTCCAGAGGCCACGGAGGGAAACAGCAGCCTTCAGTCCTCTGCAGGGCTGCCAGAGTTACCTTTAAAAGGACAGATCTGATCTAGTCACTCTCATCCACACTGCCCACTGCCTGTAGGATAAAGTCCAAATTCTTTAGCCCACCTTGCAAAGCTTCACCATTCAAGTCCAACCTATCTTTCCAGCCTCATCTTCCATCTGCCTCCACCCCATCCTGAACTCAATATTCTAGACACTCTAGACTGGAACTGTTCAGAACAGTTGCCACTAGCTTTTTGTGGCTGTTAAATTTTTAATTAATTAAAATTATATTAAATGTAAAATTCATTTTCTTAATCACATTTCAAGTGCTCAATAGCCATATGTGATTAGGGGGTACAGCATTGGACAGCGTGGCTATAGAATGTTTCCATCACTGCCAAGATTCTATTTGGACAGCACTGTTTTAGACAATAAGACCCGCTAACCATTTCCTAAAAGACTATTTTAATTATACAATTTACACATAAGTACATTCTCATTGTTCATTTTCTAACATTACAGAAATCTTTACCATTCTAGACCTCTCCCTAAAGATAATCACCGAAATAAACTTGGTGTATATTCTCTCCGAATATTTTGTGTGTGCTGCACTTGGCTTTTTTTCATTCAACAGTGTCTTAGAGATCTTCACATAAGAACACATCTCTAGCCCGGCTGGCGTGGCTCAGCGGTTGAGCATCAACCTGTGATCCAGAAGATCATGGGTGGATTCCCGGTCAGGGCACATACCCAGGTTGCTCTATTCCCAGTAGGGGGCATGCAGGAGGCAGCCAATCACTGATGCTCATCACTGATGTTTCTATCTCTCTCACTTCCTCTCTCTGAAATCAATAGACATATTAATAAAAAAAGACACATTTCTAGCTACCTTATATTTTAGGTACTGCAGAGTAATCCAAAGAGTGAATGAACTTTAGGTTAACCATTGCACTCCTATGGACATTCATCTTTCATTTTCCCTTATTGCAAACAATACGATATGCAAACATCTTTGTATGTTTTTGTGCACATGTACACCTTTGTCTAGGATAGTTACCAAAAATTGGAATTGCTGGGTCATATGCTAACACCCCTGGGACTTGGCACACCCTGGAACTCCCGCCTAGAATGCCTCTCCACATGACTAATTCCTGCTCATCAAGACCAATCAAGTGTCACCACCTTGTGAAAGGCAGTCTCTTCTGCCTCTTTCCCCATAGTACATGTCCACATATATCATTATTGCACACCTAGAGCTCTGCCTTATTTATCATTGTATTCCCAACACGCAAGCATAAGGCTTAGCATAGAGCAAAAATTCAAATGTTTTATTGATTGCATGAATGAATGGATAAATAAATAAAGGAGTGAAGGCACAGTGGTTAGGACATTCCAGATGCTCAAGGTGAGTCTGTGAGTGTTGTGAGCTTGGGCTTTGGACCAATCTGCCACCTGGTGCCCCAAGGCAAACCACCTCTCTAGGTTTCTGTCTATCCAGCCCTCTGACCTTGCACATCTCACCTTGAACTCTGTTCAAGTTGGGTACTCCACTGGTAGAGCAGTGTGAGTATGTAAGGGCTCTGGCTGTAGAGCACAGAAATCTGAGCCCTGGGGGCAGCACTAGCGGGGGCTGGCTTTCCAAACGCAGCTCTGTCTCGTTTTTTCCCCTTTGAAGCAGCTCGGTCTGCTCTGGGTTTTGGTTTATTTTTTCTCCCTATGGTACCTTAGGGGCAATTAAGATCAGCTGCAACATTTCTGCTTTCTGCTTCCAGACTGAACCCAAGGGAAGCCAGATGTTTTACACCCGGCACCCACTCCTTGTGGTCTGATTAACAGCCCTGTTTTCTGAGTCTCTCTGTGACCTGGCTTCCCCAGATCCCAGAACCTGGCTTGCAGTCTTTATTTTTAATGGGATTTTAATAAGTGGCTCCTGTAATTAATTTCATTCTTGTGTTTTCACACTTTCTGTCTAGGTGCCTAAAGGCCCCCAGGCACTAGGTGGGATGTTAACAGATTATAAGTAATACAAAACACTGTGCTGTCATTAGACACCACCCCAGCGCCTCTCATTTGCAGGTGTTTTACAATCCTTAATTAGCTGGGCACATGGCCGGTCTGGGAGGTCAGTAGGGTCACATGTCATGTTTTATAGAGACAGAAACAGAGATGTGGAGAAAAGGGATTTGTCCAAGCCCCAGCAGAGTGGGTGTTGAAACTGGTTTTCAGGAGCACATCCTGCTGGGCACACACCCTGAGAGCCAAGGCAAGGATCCACTACTCACGCACCATTTGCCAAGCGGCTTGAGGCCTCTGCCCAAAGGTGGCGCGCCTCGGGTGCCTCGCAGGCACCTTGGGAAGGCAGTTTCACCCTCCCACTGGGACTGCGGAGCAAGTCCGCCCTCGGCAACTAATACTACCACTTGGAATGACCCCCATTCATTCCCTTATGCCGTTTTCCATTTTATGGGCGGATTTATCTGCATAAAGAACGCGTCAGCAATTCCTCCCGGATTTAGAAACATAATTTTGCTATTTTTAAAGCTACCGTTAAAAAATCTGCGACCACGTACTCACACTCCTCTGGGAGAGTGTGTGGGGGGCGATGTGCACGGGTGCGTAGGAAGCGTAGGTGCAGGAGAGGGAACAGCCTGGCCTGCGCTCCCCAGAGCGCCGCGTCCTGCCCCGCGGGCGCACGGCTCCGAGCGCACCCGGGCTCTCCAACCGCGAGCGAATTTGCGCCGTCGGGACCCTGGGAGCGCCCGGGCGGCCGAC